TATGCAAAGAGCTGTGGTTAATAAATCATAATTAAGCAAGAGAGGCACCAAAGGGTCTCCAGACATTAAAGCAGAAGTCTTCAGAACAAAACATATGAGGAAAAGAGCCTTAGAGAAAACACAGACTTTACATGGAGAACACTTCAAAATATTACAGTTTAGCTTTGGGTGGGTTGGGGGATGACACAACATCCATGGGACAGAAACATTCTGTTACTAAAAAGTAACAGAGGAGAATAAAGAGTTCTTAGAAATTAAGAATGTGACACAAAAATTGGAAGATGAAACGAAGGAAATTTCCCGAGAACTAGAGTAAAACTATCGAAGGAATGAGACCTAGGAAGAAAGCATGAGACTGTTAGAGGAACGGCCAGGTACCTAATGATTGCACCCAGAGCAGGAGTGGTAAGCATCAGAGATACAAATCCAGAAACTTCTCCAGAACTGGAGGATGAGTTTCCAGATAAAAGGGGCCCTTTGAAGATTGACCTAGTCCCACATATAATAAATACATGGTGAAATTTCAGTACACTAGAAGTAAAAGAGAGAAATCCTGAAAATTTTCAAAGAGGAATAAAAGGAAATTCACTTGACATGGAAAGACTAGGATTTAGCTGTAGCAAGACTGAAGGCTAGGAGACAAGAGAGCAATACCTTCAAACAATGATGCCAAGTTGTCCAACCTAGCTACGCGTTTCCACTGTCAGCACTCCTACGTGTTGACAGTCATTTTTACATATGTGCGAGCTCAACTCAACTTCTTTTGTGACCTTCTTCGGGCATACACTGGACAGCAGGCTCTACTGAACTGAGAGAGTAAACCAGAAAAGATAAAGTGAATGGCAGAAGGCAGAGGTGCCCCTCAAGAGATAATCACATAAATCGTTTTTTATTAATATTTTTATTTACTTTACATACTAACCATAGTTTCCTCTCCCTCCTCGTCTCCTGTTCCCTCCCCCCATCTCCTTTCTACACCCCCACAATCCATTCCTCAGAAAGGGGCAGGCCTCCCATGGGAGTCAGCAAAGCCTGGCATATCAAGTTGAGGCAGGACCAAGCTCCTCCCCCTGCATCAAGGCTGAGTGAGGCATCCCACCATAGGGAGTAGGTTCAAAAAAGCCAGCTCATGCACTAGGGATAGATCCTGAACCCACTGATAGGGGCCCCCACAAATAGACCAAGCTACACAACTGTCACCCATATGCAGAGGGCCTAGGTCAGTCCCATGCAGGCTCCCTAGCTGTTGTTCTAGAGTCTGTGAGCTTCCACTAGCTCAGGTCACCTGTCTCTGTGAGTTTCTATGTCATGATCTTGATCACCCCACCCCTTGCTTATATAATCCCTCCTCCCTTTCTTCAACTGGACTCCTAGAACTCAGCCCAGTGCTTGGCTGTGGATCTCTGCATATGCTTCCATCAGTTACTAGATGAAAATTCTCTGATGACAATTAGAGTAGTCACCGGACTGATTACAGGAGAAGGCCAGTTCAGGCACCCTCTCCATTATTGCTAGTAGTCTTAGCTAAGGTCATCCTTGTGAATTCCTGGGGGATTCTCTGGCACCAGGTTTCTCCCTAAACCCCAAATGGCCTCCTCTATCAAGATATCTCTTTAAGTGCTCTCCCTCTCCATCCTTCCTCCAACTCAACCCCAGTTTACCCCCTCTGTGTCCCACCTCCCCAACCTGCTCTCAGTTTTTCCAGGAGATCTCATCTATTTCCTGTTCCCAGGGAGATCCATGTGTCCCTCTTAGAGTCCTCCTTGTTACCTAGTTTCTCTCGGACTGTGGATTGTAGCCTGGTTATCCTTTGCTTTACATCTACTATCCACTTATGAGTGAGTACATACCATGTCTTAATGGGAATGTGCAGAAATCTGAATGTTCCATCAGGGGCATCCACCCTTTTGACAGTGTAACATGATGTCATCTACAAATGTATTAGGTTATATTCATAATTATCCAGGGACACATGTGGCCTCTGTGGGGACTGAAGGTTGGACATGCCCGTTTGGGGGAACCTCCCCAAGATTAAATTGCTAATATATCCAAACACCTTAGACATTTTAAGAGATTTCCAAAATTATCTCTGGGGATAAATTAGTAACAGCGTTGAGGAACCTGAGTTGTGTGGATCAAAAGTTAAGTCCCAAAGGACGACAATAACTGATTAACAGAGAGGATTTGATAGGAAGAATTTCTGGGAGGACATTGAGAGTTTAAAAAGCCAAAGGCAAACAGTAAGTACCACAGAGATAAAAGGTGTAGGCAGCGGCTACCAGTTCTGCCCAGGGGAGCACAGACAGACAGTGGACCAGTTCAGACTTGCAAGCTCAGAGTGAGAGTATCTATCTGTGCTGCCTAGATTTCTGTCAACTTGACACAAGCTAGAGTCATCAGAGAGGAGGGAGCCTCAGTTGAGAAAATGCCTCCATAAGATTGGGCTGTAAGCAAGCCTGTAGGACATTTTCTTAATTAGTGATTGATGTGGGAGGGCCCAGTCTATCATGGGTGCTTACCACCATGGGCTAGTGGTCCTGGTTTCTATAAAAAAGCAGGCTGAGCAAGCCATAAGAAACAAGCCAGTAAGCAACACTACTTCATGCTTCTGCATCAGTTCCTGTCTTCAGATTCCTGCCCTATTTGAGTTCTGGTCCTGACTTCCTTTGATGATGAACTGTGATGTAGAAGTGTAAGCCAGATAAACCCTTTGCTCCCCAAGTTGCTTTGTGGTTTCATGACAGCTATAATAGTAACTCTGACTCCGATAGTATCTCTGGATGGAGCCTAAACGTCTGAGACACTAGACAGTCAGGATTATTGCTCTGAACTCCGAGAATATGACCCATGGATCTGGAACCCATGAAATAGGATATAATGGAGCTGATTCTGCAGCTGGCAGGAACACTACTCACTGGCATTTCCTACCACTGTTGAGACACTCTGCTAGTGTGAGGAAGGAGGAGGGAGACAGAGATGAGCATCCCATGAAAAGGAAGTCCAGGCAGGAGCAGACTCGCCCAGCCCCCCTTCCTCTTTCAAGCTCCCTGTCTTTGTGTTTCTATGTGTCCATCTTGACTGTGCTCCCTCCCCTTCCCCAGAGTCCCTTAACCACAGTGCCTAATAGGACAATGGCTACCAAAATAAAAATGTCCAAAGACCCAAGTCCAAAGGTAGCCCACGGAAAAGGAGGTGGGGCAGGTTTGAAATCATTAGCAACCCTCAAACATACACCAGGGTTACCAGGGTTATCTTAATTCTGGGGAAGCAAAAAAAGGGAGGGTCCCCCAAAAATTAAATGGTCAGAGTCCATGTCTAAACTCAGCAGATAACAGCTTTCGTAATGTCACTGTTTTTGCAAACGCTGAAATCTTATTCAACTAAAATTCTCAAGAATTGCTGACTAAATGGGGAAAGAAGTGTGTTGTTCAAGGGGTGTGGGGGGGGGGTGATGAAGACACTGAACACATCTCTTGCACAACCGGAAGTCAACAGGGAGTGCTTAAAAGAAAGGCGTGAGGTGAGCTGGCCATTGTGAGATGCAGAGGTGAATATGAGAAACACAACTCACTGGAAAGTGTGGAGTGACACTCTAGGGAAGCAGGGGTACAAGGGGGCACTGGGACGGTTGCTTCTCAAAGCAAGCCTTGCTGGGTGCACTCTGCCTTTCCTCCTCTCTCTGGTTGCTGCCCCATGATGGTGAGCACTGGTAGGAAAGGGTCACTCACCACCCATGCCGAGACCTGGCTCTCAAGCCAAAGGAACCTAGAATTTCATTGAGAAAATCCTATCTAACCAAAAACAGTTTGCAAGGCTGGTCAGAAGCCATGCAGGCAGAGCAGACCTGGACTCATCCTTGTAGGGAGGAGTGCAGTTTTAGCTCATCATGAGATGGACATGACCCTTGTCACGCTAACCCAGCTTGCATCAGGAGCTGACAGCCCACCTGTCTGGCCTCATATATACCAGAGCAGAGCAGAGCCAGGCTCGCTCTCTGTCCAAGGAGACTGCATCTGTCAGCACCTGAGGAGAGCAGCGATGATAAATGAGATGTTGAGTCTGGGCTGGGAGCAAACGCTGAGCCGGAGCTACTGACTCAGAGCCAAAGGCCCTTCAAGAGGTGCATTAAACACCAGTTCATCAGAGCCCAGGGGAACACATGCCCTAATTCTTTGGGTAATAGCGAACTTACTCTAGTTTACATGGGCTTTGGGCTGATAAGACATTTGTAGCCATTCAAATGTGTACAAGTCCTCTTCTCCGAATGCAGGATCAACCCTCCTGTGAGCACACCTTTTACACTTGCTCCTGCCAGCACTGGCTCTGAAAAATCCCCACAGCTCCAAAGTATCCCTGCTACTTCTCAGAGCCTGCCTAACCCCAAGGTCTTCTTCTCACAGTATAACACTCGACTCTCACCAGCTCTGGACTGTCTTGACATACTGCTGGAAGGAATATACTCTCTGTGTCATTAGGAGGGAAAGGTAAAACAGATCCCAGTGATGCTGCAGAGCCTGGCTGCCTAAACATCTTGGCGCTCTGGATAGTGGATGAAAATGGAAGGCTGATATGATGACCTAAGGAAGAAAATCCAAGTGACATTTGCTTTTAGTCACATAAATACCCTGCATTTAGCTGGGTGGTGGTGGTGCATGCCTTTAATCCCAGCACTCGGGAGGCAGAGCCAGGTGGATCTCTGTGAGTTCGAGGCCAGCCTGGGCTACCAAGTGAGTTCCAGGAAAGGCGCAAAGCTACACAGAGAAACCCTGTCTCGAAAAACAAGACAAAAAAAACAACCAAAAAACAAACAAAAAACCTGCATTAGACCATCCATTGTGGCACTCTCAGAAACTTGGAAAGAGTTAATAGCTCTCCAAAGGGAGCCAATCACACTTCACATTTAACCCTTAGCACAGAGCAGCCCCCAAAGTCTATTCCAGGCTAGGGCTGGGTCACTCAGTGCATGCTGAGGCTGATGTGAGTGCTCTCTTCTCTTTCAGATTATGACATCTGTGCCCAAGCTCCCTGTGAACAGCAATGCACGGATAACTTCGGCCGGGTGCTGTGCACTTGTTACCCAGGATACCGATATGACCGAGAGAGGCACCAAAAGCGGGAGAGGCCGTACTGCCTGGGTGCGTCGGAAATGCCTTCCCAGCTCCTGGGGACGTGCTGGGCTCAGATACCTCTGCTCTTTGCTGCATTTGCTGCTGCAGCAGTAGCAGCAGCAGCAGCAGGAGGAAGAGGACCAGGTCAGAGGAGCTGCTGTACACTCTGACTCCTCCCCTTGAAGTCTTTGTACTTGTGGGATGGAGTGGTGTTTGGTTTTAGCCTGTGGACCAATAGCTTTCATCATGTTTATCAAAACAAATCATGTACAAAGATGTCTTCAGGAGGTGGAATTAGTCAGAGCCTAACTGAGAGGAGAGATAAGAGCTAGAGAAAAGGGAGAGTGTCCTACATAAACGAGAATGGTGTAAGGCAGGTCAGAAGCCAGGTGGGGCGGCATACACCTTTAATTCTAACACTTAAAGGGAGGCAGAGGCAGGAAGATCTCACTGAGTTGAAGCCAGCCTAGTCTACATATTGAGTTCCAGGACAGCCAGGTTTACAGAGAGAGAGACCCTGTCTCAAGAAAAGAAAAAATCAGAAATGTAAAAACACGGAACAAAATGAGGATTGGCAGCCCTGGGGTTCAAGCAGGACAACGGAAGTATTGGTGTGTCGAGCAGGTAGGAAGCAATTTGAAGAAAGCTGAGGCCACCTGCCTGGACTACAGCTGAGTAAACAGTCCAGCCACCCTCAGTGGCCACCAGCCTGTTTCTTGTGTCCCCATTGACTGGGGTTTTCTACCATTCCCTTCTAAGAAGGCTTCGGACTCGTCTCAAGAGATTGTCTATTTCAAAGTGTGATCATTCTGTGGCTAACCTGGGGTCTTGGCCTCCTTTCCAGGGCTAATGAGACAAACCGAGCAGTAGACCCAGGAATGTGCCTTTTCACAAATGACACTAAGTGATTGACAGGTTTAGTGAAGTTCAGGAATCAGAAGATGGACTGAGATGGTCAATAGACTCAAGTGGGAATTAGCAAACAGCCTTTGATAAACAGCCCTTCCCCTCTGTCCACTAGGGCTCTGCAGAGAAGCTTTTGGGAAAGGGTCTAGCCATGGGCCTTCTACAGCCTCCCAACAGTATCTGGAAGTAGTATTGCACACTAACGAAGGATGGGGCCAACACAATTAAGTAAATAGAGCAGGAGCCCATGACACCACCTACATAGATCAGGGGATGTCCCCAGTGGCTCAGTGCCACCCAGGGAGGCTAATATTTCAGTGTCCAATAGCTACTTCAACCTCCTGTTTTCTTTTGGTGACCACGGGAGCTTGGGTTCAACAAAGAGTGCCCCCAAAGCACAACACCTTCATATTTAACGTTAGGACAGGGACCCCTCTAAGTAGGCTTCAGTTGGGACCCCCAGCCTCTAGATGACAGTGTGTAGTGCCAGGGGAACACCCACATTGCCATGCTCTTCCTGGGACCCTCAGCTCCTGTCAGAGCGAGGTCCTTGGCAGCTTGCCCAGGGAGCATTGGGAAGCTGTCAGTCTCCTGAATTTCGGGACTGGGCTCTGCCTGCCACATGTGTAGAGTCTGAGGTGGTGTCCTTGTTCCCATCCACTACGCCAGGTGTCTTCATCCAGTGAACAGGAAATGGAATACAGCCTTCTCCCTTTTCCTGTGGTGAGAAACATTTTGTTTCCACCCCATGCCACGGGGAACTGAGTCAGTGATGTACACAGTCCACGCTGACTCTCTTGGGGTCCCTTCTTTGATGATCTCATGGCTCATTTCCACGGCTCACCAGGGGGCAGCTTGGGTCAGTGTGGAGCAGGGGTTGTCTGGGGAAACCTCTCTCCAGGAGGCCCATCCTACTATTTACTTTTGTTAGAAGTGGCTTTTTCCAGTTGCTGCCATGTCTCTTAACTGGGAAGAGACCATTCCTAAGTGACCTTCGGGTCGCTGCATGCTGTTTGGAACCTCCCATTATAAAGGGGGATTAAGTCTCAGCACACCAAGCTACCTACTGAAGTCAGCTGTGTTGCTGGCATTTTGTTTTCTCTTCCGTGGAGCCCTAGGGAGTGTTTAGGGCTGGCCTCATTGTCATGCTCTACGGGTGAGTGAGCCTCTGAGGCACCAAGCCACAGGACAGACACCACCACTCAAGGTCTCTGATGACAGGCACATGACCCAAAGTTAAGGCTTCCTGTATGGCCCATGTTCCTGGAACTTCACTTGACTCCACACTTCTCTGGTTCAGATCTAGAAGTTTTGCTTGCTCATGTCAACAGAGGGGCCAGGTGTGTGGCTGTGTTGAAATTGTTCTATGCATTTGATTCAAACCAGATATTGACGAATGTGCCAGCAGCAACACTACTCTCTGTGCACACATCTGTATCAACACCGTGGGCAGCTACCACTGTGGGTGCCGGGAAGGCTACGTCCTTGAGGACGATGGGAAGACCTGCACCAGGGGAGACAAGTACCCCAACGACACTGGTGAGCAGGACAAGCATGACACCCCTTACGGTGTGCACGTTTCTATTAGATATTACATAGAGCGTCAGTTTGAGAATTACATACACATAGCAATGAAACTGTCTTATATATTTATAGGATTTTATATTCTGTAACTGTAGCTTATATGTATAATGCATATTGTACATTTATATGGAAAATGATATTCCATGTAATATCTTATGGTATGTACACATGATATATAATAATACATATTATAATATATAAAATGCAATTAGGTATAATCTACAGTCCACATTATGTAATTATATATAGTACATGTTATTTTTATATTGTATATGCATTATTTATCCCGTTTTCTATATTTATGTGTAGTATATATTATACATAACGTGTAAATTATAGGTACTTGGGAGCCCAACCAACTTAATCTGGTGACCCTGTGCAGGATGGGACACTTACAAGTGGGACCTAGGTGAGAACCCAAGATCAAACTCCTTCTGAGGAGAGCTGGCGGGAGCATGTCTGTGGCAAGTGTTGCAGGCTGACATGCGCTGGAGAGAGGTGGCATGCCTGTGGAGAAATCAGTAGCGCTTGGCTCTGTGTTTCCAGGCATCTAGAGTGAACAGGAAAGAGGCCAGATGGACTATGTTCTCTCAAAGAAAACAGGCTGAAATATGTATTTGAATAATTTCCACATATGGCCCCAGTCTATTTCAACACAACCCAAAATGCAGTCCATATCGTGTGCCCATCTGTGAACTAGTTGTTTGGTTTATGATCAGATAAAAATAGAAAATGAGAGTGTGAACGAATTTTTACACCAATTTGACAGAGGAAATGTATTTACATTTCCAAATTGTATGCTTGTATCCCATGTATAATCTTTTGAGCAACTCACTTTGTATCAGTCCACAGTCAGTTACAAAATGTCTCCCATCTGGAGCTTCAGCATGGAGCTGGGAGGCTGCTGGACATTAACATGGCAGCCTGATTCAGCCAAGATGGCTGGCCACTGGAGCATGGGATCAGCCTGCCTGCTGGGTTACTTCTTTGAGTTTGAAGGAAAAGAGAAAGAAGGGCGTAAAAGAGAAAGAAAGGGAAAGAAAGGAACTCCCAGATTGGTGGGCAAATGCTTATAACATCCACTTGCAAAGTAACTCTGATATCTCTGCCAAGTGCCAAGCTAGTCATTAAAATTTAGAATTTTAGCCTGTGGGGACCATGTCAGTCACCTGCCAGCTGGAATGAACTTGGTGGTGAAATAGTTTTCACGACCAGTGTTGGCCCAACAAGTTCCCTGGAGAGAAAGCCCTTAGCCATTTAGCGAGCCAGAAGTTGAGCTTTGTACCATCATGAACATGCACGTTGCACGTGCTGGAGCACTCACATGAACTCACAGTCAAGAGAGGTTAGAGGGCCTGAGCCATCCCTGGGAAGGGAGGAGGCCCCAGGGCAAATCACATGTACCAAGATGTGCAGGGAGTTGAGAAAACCAGAAACATCTGGGCACGCACGAGATGGAGCCTGAGCTTCAAAAAGGGCTGGGAGGCAGCAGACAGCTGGAGACCAGCTGCCTCACAAGGAACGACTACAAAGGCAGATTCTGAAGGGCAGCGAGGTTGAGTCATGGAGAAGCCACTGTGTGCAAAAAGAAAATGCAAAATAACTACTTGGAGCCAGCTCAGGACAGGGCATTTAGGGATCCTGTACGTGAACTAGAGGGCATGAGCGTGGGGACACCTTTGAGACTCTGAAACATGTGGAGCCTACCCATCCGGAGGGCAGCACAGATCAAGGGACAGCAATCTTTGGGGAATACAGTTTAATCGGGATAATAATTTACAGACCATTTTTCACTCAAAAGTAAAATTACTGCAGTTCGCCCCATGGGCAAAGTGTATAAGAGAAGGGCAGGGAGGTACGGCATCTCTCTTTTTCGAAATGAAGGTGCTCACTGACAGTGGGTACCACCTTTTAGCTACCAATCCTTTCAGATGTGGGATTGTGAGGGAAATAATCACCAGGAAGCTGCCTTCTAAGTTTTCATTGAAGAATTGGATTTCCAGCTGTCTGTACACAGTTGGCTGTGGGTTGCCTGAGTTGATATAGAGACAAGTCTTTTTTTTTTAAAAAAAAAAAAAAAAAAAAAAACCATGGGCAGGATGGAGCCTGGAGAAGCCCAAAACAGAGCCAAACCATCAGAACAGCAAATGCGTGCTGCTGAGTGTCAGGACAGAAACCCATGCTGGGGCCTCTGGGGGAGGGGGGAGGTATTCAAATACCCATAACCCAGAGCTGACCCCTCCCACAAGAAATGCCTCCGTGTTGGGGCAGAATGATCTCCAAGGACAGAGACACTAACAAAAAGAAGAGAGACCAAATGGCAGTTCTAGAGGCCTGTGTAAGATTTGATGTGCTGAGTTCATTTGTCCCCGGGTCTCAAGAAATCTCCACCCCCGAGAAGTAATTCCCGGATTCTCTACACACATTTCTCTCTAGACCTCAGAGCAGGATCCGATCCCCTGTGGTCTATCAGCTGTAATAGGATCTGAGTCAATGAGAAGCACTCACCTGTGCCCCACCTTCAGCAAGGAGGGCTTAGCAAAGGGGAGAGAAGGGGAGGCTGAGAGGTCTCATTGTATCTTTTGTTTTGCTTTTCTCTCTCTCTTTCTTTCTTTCTTTCTTTCTTTCTTTCTTTCTTTCTTTCTTTCTTTCTTTCTTTCTTTCTTTTTTTAGTTCCTTGAGAATCTCATACAGTTTCATATACTCTGCACCTTGGCCAGTTATGATTCTTTGTAGCTAGAGTTTTCCTGCCTGGCCCACAGTCAGGACAAATCTCTCTCACCTGCCAGTCCCACAGCCGCTCAGACCCAACCAAGTAAACACAGAGACTTATATTGCTTACAAACTGTATGGCCGTGGCAGGCTTCTTGCTAACTATTCTTACAGCTTAAATTAATCCATTTCCATAAATCTATACCTTGCCACATGGCTCGTGGCTTACCGGCATCTTCACATGCTGTTTCTCATCGTGGCGGCTGGCAGTGTCTCTGACTCAGCCTTCCACTTCCCAGCTTTATTCTTCTCCTTGTCCTGCCTATACTTCCTGCCTAGCCACTGGCCAATCAGTGATTTATTTATTGACCAATCAGCAACACATTTGCCATACAGAACATCCCACAGCAATTCTTGTTCACCATCTACTGCAAACAGAAGGATCTCTAACAAGACCTGAGAGATGCCCCAATCAATGGGCCTAACGCAAAGTCATTAGGACTTGGTTCATTGCTATGTTCCTGTAGCAGAATAACAAAGTAGGTGCTCTTCTAGAGTCTGTGCTATAGGTTCTTGGCCTGATAATGGTGGTATAGTTTTCATCTTGTGGAGTGGGCCTTAAGTCCAATCAGAAAGTGGTTGTGTCACTCTGGCTCACACTTAGTTAGCTTTCACACATAGCCCAGGACCACCTGTCTAGGGATAGTATTGTCCACAGTGGGCTAGGCCCTCCTGCATCAATTAGGAATCAGTACTATCCCCCACAAACATGCCAACAAGCCAATCTGATCTGGGCAATTCTTCAGTCGAGGCTTTTGTCTCAGGTGAGTCTAGGCAGTATCAAATTGACCAAGCTAACTAGGACCCTTGAATGTCACATCATTACTCACACAACCTGATAAACATCTAACAGGGCCGGAGGGATGGGCTCAGTGGGTAAAGCGTGTGCTACACAAGCGTGAGGACCCAAGTTCGCATCCTCAGCCCCCACGTAAAAGCAAGCTGCAGCAGCACATACCTCTAACCTCAGAGCTAGCGGGGGTGGAGACAAGCAGATCCCGGGGGCTTGTCAACCAAGCAGCCTAAGCAAAATAGCAAGGTCGAGCTTGAGGTTCATGAGAGACCCTCTCTCCAAAATAAGGTGGAGGGGCTGGAGAGGTAGCTCAGCAGTTAAGAGCTGGGTTTGAAGGCCCCTGCATCCACATCAGGCCTCTTAGAGCTACCTGTAACTCCAGTTCTAGGTGATCCAGTGCCCTCTTCTGGCCTCCTCAGGCGTCTGCATGTACATGGCACACATACGTATATGCTCTCATGCACACATAAATAAATGTCTGAATGTTTTAACAAGTTGGGGAGCACTAGAGGAAGATACCAGATGCACACTCACCTCAATACCCCCACACACACATGCAAAATAATAATTTGTAAAAGGGATGTAAATATTTTAGGTTATGTTTACTATATGTGTATGGGTGTTTTGCCTGCATGCATGTCTGTGTACCACATGTGTGCAGTGCCCAAGGAGGCCAGGAAAGGGTATTGGATCCCCTGGGAATGGAGTTAGATATGGTTATGAGCTGCCATGTGGGTGCTGGGAATTGAACCTGGTTCCTCTGAATAGTGACCAGTGTTCTTAACAAATGAGCCATCTCTCCAGCCCCCAAATAATAGTTTTTTTAAGATCTCATAGATGATGAGGTCCTAAAAAGCACAGATTGGAAACTATCTTATGTCACAAATCTGGGCTCTGGGCTAAACTTGATGGGACATCTGGTCGATTCTCAGACGAAGGTGTTAACTAGCATATAGAGTAGCTAGAGTGCAGAGGACGGTGATTCACTCACTATATGGGCCCTGGTGTAGAACAGGTGGAAACAGGCAGGCCTCTTTATTGTACCACATTCAGAGATATCTGATTCCTCTAACAGTGGCACAAATGGGAAAGGTCCTTGTCATTTACTAGAACAAACCATCTGGTGATATCACCACCAAGCCTTACAGAGACACAAAGCTTAAAAAACTGAATGGAGTTGGAAGTTTTCTCCCATTTCCTTCTGCCTCTTCCTCCACCAGCCTCCACATGGCAATTTCACCTGGTCTGAAAGAAGGAAAATGTCATCATCAGCTCTTTCCCATGCCCCGGAAGTATGAGCCTTACAATGTTTACTCTGAATTTTTTTTTTTTTTTTTTTTTTTTTTTTTTTTTTTTTTTTTTGGTTTTTCGAGACAGGGTTTCTCTGTGCAGCTTTGCGCCTTTCCTGGGACTCACTTGGTAGTCCAGGCTGGCCTCGAACTCACAAAGATCCGCCTGGCTCTGCCTCCCAAGTGCTGGGATTAAAGGCGTGCGCCACCACCGCCCGGCTCATACTCTGAATTTTTAATTTACCATCTCCACTGAACTCAACACATAGGTGTAGAGGGGTTTGGTTTGGTTTTTATATTTTACAAAGAAGCATCTTTATACTGATGATCAGGGGTCTCTAGGGTAGAAATTGGGAAGAATCATTAACATAGATAGTTTTGAGAAAGGACAGGGTCTTTGTGCACCCAGAAGGTCCCTGTCCTAACTCAACTGCTTGACCATGGAGCCATCACTGCCTCAAGGTATCCTCTCCCCTGCCTCTGCTGACTCTGGGGTCAGAGAGAAGAAAAAAGGAAGGAAGAGGAACCCTGCAATCATTTCTCTGGCAGCAATGACGCCACAGGAAGTTCTTTGCCTGGGAAATTAGAGCAGGTGACCAAAGATAGGTTAGTGCTTGCTGACTGTGTGACTTGAGACTGGTCCCTGGAGCTGTTTCCTCAGTCTCTGGGGACACTATTGGTCTCCAGCTCCAGGGCCCCTTTTACCCTTGGAAAACGTTTCAAAATTTGCTGAAATACAATACCTGCTTTTTATTTCCTTCTCTATCTGTGCAAGTACGCAGTTTGAAAACATGGCCAGCTTTAACACCTCCCGTGTAGGGAACATTCCTTACTGTATCTCAAGGGTGAGTAATTTCATATCTGAACAAGCAGCTCAATAGTAAGCCGTGCTCACGGCAAAGAGAGCCTTCTGGACATGAGGCAGCTAAGCATTTCCAGCTGCTTTGGACAAATTAGTCAGCCCAGTATTTCACCGCTTTTCAAAAAAAAAAATAATGAAGATAATGATTATTGAGTATAAACACATGATCTTAAATCACCTCTCCCTGTCTGGTATATGTTTTGAGTTTGGGGGAAGTTCTTTGGGGAGAGATATTTCTTAAGCTTTTCATTGTCCAACATCTACAATGTTAGAGTCGGACAAATTTAAAATAGAAGTCCAGGGCGGGTGAGCTGCTTGTCATATAAGCCTGATGGCCTGAGTTTGATCCCAGAACCTATGTAAAGGTGGAAGGAGAGAATTAATGTCACAAAGTTGTCTGCGTATCTCCATGAAGACAAAAGTATGTCTCCACATGCGTACCTTGCCCCCCACACACACACACGCACACATGCACACACAACATAGTGCAATAAATTTTAAAACTAAGATGATGATGATGATGATGATGATGATGATGATGATGATATGGAAGCATAGAAGGGGTATGGCCTCAGGACAGCCTCTGACAATTTGAAAGAATGTCCTCTGGCTGGGTGATACAAGCCATCTGACAAATCAGTGTTCAGTCTCTTTGATTTTTATCTTTGGAAACCCAGAGCTGGAGCCAGTTGAGACACAAGGGAGTCTGCGTAGCACAAGAGGGAGACAACGTAGGAAATGTTGGCTCCACCGTGATTAGCTCACTGGTCTTTATTTTTCAACTTGTGTTTATTTTCTGATAAAGTTACCGTGACCCCGAGTGTCACTCAATACAGTTCAAAGACTCAGAAATGACCAGGTGTTTCAAATAACTCTCAAGCTCTGATAATAATAGATTAGGGATTTCTTAATGTGGGCAATGTTAAAACATACTGATATCGTCCCTTAATGCCACCCCCAGGTGGAGGGGCGGAGGAGATTCCAGAGAAGTTTTTAAAGCACCCCCCCCCATCCCACCCCCACCCCTTGGGTTGTGACGTGCTCAGACTGAGTTCCCAAAACAGCAGTCAAGTTTTTAAACCAAAATGCTTTATCCCCTTGTGTTACTTCCCAAGTGAGAAGCACATTCTTAGGCTTTTTTCTCAGTTTATTTGATATTGTTACCCTAATGTCTAAGCCGTTACATTTCTAGCGTTCAGCACGTTTACCTGGACTCTCATAAAAGTTAGAGCTCCGTGCCTCCGTGTGGCTACTCGGGAGTACTGCATCCTTAAAAATCTGGGACGACAGCAAAATTGAGCTCAGGGCATATTTAGATATACAGTAAGTTTAGTGATGTGTCTTCCCTGGACCGGCCCGACCACATCTGGGTGTTCTCAGCAGAAACTCCAATAACAGCCTCCCTTTGCGCCTACCCCACACCCCAAAGGGCCAATAGAGCCCTATAGTTGTGTGGTCTGCGCACAGCATTCTGGGTGATCAAGTAACCTTCCCCCTCTAGGTCTTACTTTGCTTATCTGTAAAGGAGCACTAAAGACGCATCAGCTCCAGCAGTCCGTGATCCATATGAGTCCAGAACCGAGTGACGAGGCAGGTTTATCCTGTTGTGCAAATATGCAATTTGCACCAACACTTGGAAAAATCACCTGGAAATGGGCAAATAGGGGTGCAGAGATCAGCTTTTCACTCCTGCACGTGTACCCTCAATGGGTGGCTTGGCCCTCCACCAAGGTCAGATGTGAATTGTGAAGCAGAAATGTTCATTTTTTTTTTAATCTCCCATTCATAAAACCTCCCTCACACAGTGTGTAGCTCTATAGATGAAGAAGGGTGGATGGAAGAGTGGAGTCATGATTAGTGTGAACTGTCCACTTGACACACTGTGAATCAGCTGAGAAGTCTCCCAGTGAGCCAATATCTGCGTTGAATTAATCGACAGGCATATGGGGGGCGTGCCGTGATTATGGTGATCATTGGTTGAAGACCCAACCTAAAAGTGGCTAGCATCATTCTGGACTGTATAAAAGAGAAGAACGTGATTGGAGTATAAAGTCATGCCCTCGTGTCTCTCAGGTCTTTTTTTTTTTTTTTTTTTTTTTTTTTTTTGTGGTTTCTCGAGACAGGGTTTTTCTGTGTAGCTTTGTGCCTTTTCTGGGACTCACTTGGTAGCCCAGGCTGGCCTCAAACTCACAGAGATCCGCCTGCCTCTGCCTCCCGAGTGCTGGGATTAAAGGCACGCGCCCCCACCGCCCGGCGAGTGTGTCTCTCTGCTCTTGACTGGATCTGACCAGCTGCTTCCATCCCCTGCCACCTTGATGACCCCACAGTGACAGACTATGACCTGGAATTGGGAGCTAAAACAAGCCCGTTGTTCCCTCAGTTGCTTCTGTCGGGGTATTTTATCACAGCAACAAGGAACAAAACCAGCACAGACGGGTTCCCTGCCAGTGGCTGCGTGCTTGAGAAAGATGGATGGTCCTGTGCAGAGGACTGAGTTGTGCCCTTCGTGGTGAAAAGGTGACTCCTTATTTAGCTTCAGATACCCTCATAGTTGGGAATGGGGAACCCCTACAGAAATGGACAGCGGCTCTCTCAGTCTAGTGGGTTTGTAGATAGACAAGGACAGTGGAAGGGTGGCCGTCTCTCTGGCTGAGTGACGCAGCCATTGGAAGGATTACTCAGCCCCTTCCAGCTGTCTTCCCCTGCAAAGCCCTGTTTCCGGACTCCATGGGCTGGGCCCCACTCCGCTGGGCCGTGCTCCCCCTGAGTACTGCACTGTCAGGGATGGGGAAAGGCCGTCAGTGGTGTGTGAACTGCTGTCCGAGTGTGAGAATTTGTGCAGCGTGTGGACCTCGGCCCTTGGGGAACAATAAAATCACGTCAGACTTATAGAGGCACCCTTCTAGAAAGCACCAGCAGATGCCCACATTTCCACACATGAAAGCTGCTCATTAAAGGGCCATAACACGTGTTTTCACACACTTGGATGTCTAAAAACAGCTGGCCCCAAAGAGTAGCAGGGCCTCTGTCTCTCGCTGTCCCTTCCACTCCCCCATGACCCTGGGTCATTCTGGATCAACCTGAGAACCATAAAATTGTCAACACCTACCCCTACGACCTTCCGTGGTCATTCTCTGTACCCCATGGCCAGAGACTGCCCTTTAGTGCCATCTCTCCAGGCATGTGCCCTGCCCGCCTCCCAGACGGAGCTGAGCCTGTGTCTTTTCCCAGGGCCCGAGGAGAAGGCCGAGAATGAGGTGAGAGCCGGGACTTGCTGTGCATCGTGCAAGGAGTTCTCGCAGATGAAGCAGACGGTACTGCAGCTGAAACAGAAGGTACACTGAGCTCGGCAAGGGGGAGGGTGAAGCCCATGTTGGGGTTTGGGGAATGGCGGCTGAGGAGAAAACAGATTGTCCTAGCTGAGCATTGCGGTTAGTGTCAGCTAGATGTGAACTCTGGCTGTTTCCCCACTCCAGAGCTGCTGACCACCTAAACAGCAGCGGAACACAAAAGGCAAAGACCTGGGGAGGGCGTTACTCTATCAGCCCTGGCAATGGGTACATACAAAGTCGTTGAAAGAGTAGAATTCATACTTCTTGTAGAAGGTATCGATTCGCAGCCCCGGGCAGACCTAGGCAGTGGTATTTTTATCTGTTTTATTCATTGAGAACATTCTCTCTTAAATGCTCTCTCTCTTCTGTAAACCGACGTCATCCTGTGGTGCCTTCATTTTCTCATGTAACTTTATGGTCTGGGGGGGGGGGATATGCATCTAGGAAATCAGTACTCTGAGTGCCTCATGTCACCAGGAGTGAGGACCAACTCCCTTTCTGAAAGACTCCGCCTGATGAGTTGGGCACCAGGGCGCTGGTAATGTCATCCAGCTGTGAGGAAGGGCTTCGTGATGGATCTAGCGGCCTGGATTCTTGGGTGACTCTCCTGGGTTGGTGTTTATTACACCTGAGGTCAGTACACTTGCTGGCTTGTCAGCCACTCTGAAACGGTTCTTCAGCTGCCCAAACATAAACGTTCGGCTTTGTTTGTTTAATCACTTCCACTCAAGGCTCTCAGGAGATCAAAGGGGTGTGTATAATCTGTTTAACTTTGGCAGCCAGTTATTCTAAAGGGTAAAAGGGTAAACATGAGACACTCTCTCTTCCACGGCCAGAAAAGTGGCAGCTGCCCTAATGAGAAACCCAGCTACCAGCTAAACCATGGGAACAAGGGGCCGAGAAGGGAAGCGGCGTTTCCGACCTCTGATGCACGGGCTGGTGAGGTCATGGCCGACTTTAGCAGAGGCTTGTATGGACCTGGATGTTACACAGTTGTATAGTCCAGAGGAAATCATGGACCTCATCATAAATAGCTCGTGATAATAATAGGCAGAAAACCTTGTCTGTGTGCCAGTATAAACAAAGGGAAAGAAGGGAATATCTCCCATACAGCTATCCCCAGGTGACACTTGAATTGATGTTAACATTTTTAGAGGAAACCCAGAAGGTTTGTAGAAGCATTAAGCTTGTCTTTCATAGGCTAGAGCATCAGGCATGGGGGAGGTAGCTGATTATGATCTCAAGACACAAAGCTGGCTTCACTTTCCTTCCCTGGAAATAACCTCTGACCTTACACAAATTCTTTCCAGCTGGAGTGGTTTTAAGGCACTTGATATTGTGAGCTCTTCGCAAACTAGTTGCTGGGTTTGGCCTTCTCTTAATTGCCCACCAGTATTGTGTGATCCATGCAAGCCGACTTAGGTGACCCTCAGGTTTGCTGATGCTTTATAGGAATCATGAGGTTGTCTCAGTCTTCACTAGCTCTCTCGTGTGGTTGGGTTGAGCAAGTATTACTCTACCTTACGCCTCACTGTCCCCATGCACACGGCCTGAGCACTGGCATTCATGGGGCATTATGAGAAGTGATGTTTTATGTGTATGTATGAGGGGGTATGTGCCTGCATATATGTGCAGGGTTGTTTACCTGTTTGTGTGCCTATGTGGAGGCCAGAAGTCAATATTAGTTGCCTTCCTGCATCATTCTCCAACTTGTATTTTGAGACGGAGTCTGTCACCAAACCCGGAGATTGCCATTTCAGCTAGACAGGCTAGCTAGCAAGTCCCCGGGATTTGTCTGTCTCCATCACCCCAGAGCAGGGCTATAGATAGATGTGTGCTTCTCTGCCCTGCGTTTACATGAGTACTGAGGATCCAGGCTCAGGGCAAACGCTTGCCCACTGAACCTTTTTTCTTATCCCTGTTTTTTTCCTTTCCTTTCTTTTCCTTCCTTCCCTTTTCTTTCCTCTCCCTTTTCCTTTTTTTTATCCTTACCCTCCCTTTCCTTTCCTCTCCCTCCCTTCTTCTTTCAAACAGGTCTCATCTGTAACCAACCTGGCCTTGAACGAACTATGCAGTAGATGATGACCTTGAACTTTTGATCTTCCTTCCTCTGCCTTCCAAGTGCTGGGGTCACAGGCCCGTGTCACCATACCCAGCTGAGGGTCAATTCTCTTTAAAAGACACCTCCTGGAATATATGGCTTCCTGTCATATGGGAAGCAGTTTTATATGCAAAATCTTACTTAACTGTCTCCATAGCCTTGTAAGAAATGTGCTAGCATTCCCAGAGATGCAGTGCATACTCAAGAGGTCAGACCTGAAATCCACACCTTCTCCTGAAGCCTGGTGTAGATCGTCATTTGCCTTGAACATCCACTTGCTACTGTTGATACCATCTGTTCTTTTCATAGAACACAAGGCATTTATTTGCCTGGATAAACATTGTCCAAGAAGTAGTTATATGGGGAGGGAGGTGCTGGAGAGCAGCCAACCCCACAGTATGAGGTGATGTGCACACATGTTGAACTACACCATGAACATACAGGAGTCAGAATTCTAGCCACAGAAAATGCCCCAGGCCAAATCCCTTGGCTCTTTAGGGATCAGTCAGAAAAGAAAGCCACATAAAACAGAAACACGCAGAATACAAGGAACCTACAAGACCTGTTGTCATTTTTTTAACTAGCAAGGTTAACTGCAGTGTTCAAGTGAGGATTGCTGGGTGGTGGATTGCTTGTTTAGTGAAGGACATTATGTACAAGTCAGGACAGTGGATACTTTTTAAGGAAGGGAGGAGAGTGGTGTAGGGCACTTAGGGAAATCTGGTAGGGCCGGGAGGTCTACATGTTGGCTTGAGTGTTCACTGAGCATGCTTGCTTTAGTCAATGTCTAAGCTACATATATTAGTTCTACAAAACTTCCTGTTTGGGGCTTATACCGTCCCTTCAGACCTCACTGCCTCTTCCCCTTCATTTTTTTTTTTTAAGTCAGAAAAGAAATGTGATTTGATAAGAAAGGGAGCTTGGGGGCAGGTAAAGTACCTGCCATTAAGCTTTGGTTGATGGAGGAAGGACGAGAGTCACACAGTCTGTTGATTTCTCTTTAGAAGTTTACTCGCATGGCTAAATGGACTGCAGGAATGAGATAGCTATTGAGGACCAGGGGAGAAAGACCCCAAAGAGAGAGGCATAGCGCATCAGCAAGCCTGCTCAGCAGCTCAGAACCCACAAGTGTGCTCTGCCTCCGAAGGCCACTGTACAGGGAGCAGGGGACCTCTCCCCTCCTACACCAGCCACCCATAGTTAGCCCATCGCGAGCAAACAAGACGATGTCACAAGGATTTGCTGAGCACCCACTCTGCCCTACAGTAGCCTGAGCGATGGGGAAATACAAACAGTATGGAATAAGGTCCTGCCTCATCAAGTACGTTGACATTTTACAAAGAAACCAAGCCAGCAGCGTGACTGAATGGTAAATGGATGGAATGAGGAGGTAGCCAAGCTTGAGAAGTTGAGGTCAGTGAGGTGCACACCGTGAGCAGGCTCACTGTGATCCTGGTTCCCTTTCCTACCAAGTACATGTGCAGGTTCTAAACTGACTTTCCCAACTGTGTCACACACACACACACACACACACACACACACACACACACACACACACACATACATGTCATAACATTTTTAAAGAAAATGTACATATGCACCATGAAATTGTATTGAACCACAAAGAATAATAATCTCCAGAAAGATAGGTGCACTGGAGATGAGCATATTTAGTGAAATGAGCTAGACTCAGACCAAAAAAAAATGCATGTTTTCTTGGGTAAGTTTCTATTGCTGTGGTAAAGACCATGATTAAGCAACTTGTGGTGGAAAAGGTTTATTTGATTATATATAACTCAACCAAAGTCCATCATGAGGGGAAGTCAGGACAGGGACCTTGAGGCAGGAACTGAAATGGGCCATGGAAGAACACTGCTTACCACCTTGTTCCTGATGGCTTGATCATCCTGCTTTCTTACACAACCAAAGACCACCTGCCCAGAGGTGGTACCGTCAACAGCGGGCTGGCCCTTCCACAGCAATTATTAATCAAGAGAATGGCCACAGGCTCGCCTACAGGACACTCTTCTGCGGGCATTTTTCTCAGCTGATGACCAAAGATGGTCAAGTTGACAAAAAACAAACCAGAACGAATGTTTTCTCACATTTGCAAATTTTTAGATTGTACATAAATACATAAAGATATTCACGCATGCGTGTGGTGTGTGTGTGTGTGTGTGTGTGTGTGTGTGTGTGTGTGTGTGTGTGTGTGTGTGTGATGAAAGCAGAAGGTAGACTTGAAGAAAGAAGAAGATGAGGAGGAGAGAGGAAAAAGAGGCTTATTGGAGTGAATATAGTACCAAGTACATGATGGACTTGGAAGAAGTGGCCTTTATGAAAGGAGATAACACGTGCTAAATACAATGTCAAATTAATTATTGTCCATAAGAGATTTACAGCAGTGCCTGCTGCCTGGACCAAGCTCTGTATCTACCAAGCATGTGCTGAACATTAACAGTGAGCGCTCCATATTCGGTATCCTGCCAGCTCATGCCAACGGCTCTCCAGAGCAGATGCTTTTAATACAAGGCAAATCTGATCTGAGAGAATAGCAATGGGAAGTCCATTGATTGACACTCAGGAGAAGTACAGGCCCTGCTCATATTGCTATCATCTTGCCTCCCAACACTCGCACCCCACAAGCCCACTCCCTGATATTTCTGGAAGAATGTGGCTGGTCACACCCACTAACTTTCCTTTCCACTTGCCTTAGGAGTATGGGGTCTACAGGCTGCAGGAACATCAGGGTTATATTCACTGGCTTATCTTATAACTTGAATACAACTTGAACGTTGGAGTTAGTCAAAAGGAAAAAGCAACAGGAGCCGTGTTAAAACCCAGCCACAGTAGATCTCCATCCCAAGCCAGATGACAGGGTTTTGAATATGAAGATGTGATCATCTAGTGACACACTCCTCATTTTGTAGATGTGGAGGTGAAAACATGGAAGGCTAGAACACTTACCTAAAGTTACCTCTTGGGCACAGAGCCAGGAGTGAGTGCAGGCAGAACCTTCCCACAGGGCAGTGACTGTGGCTGGACACTGGACCCAGGCATCCATTTCCATGTGCAACAGCCCTCATAGGCGAATGTTACCATCTTGTTTATAAACAAGATCCAGACCCTACAGATGGACCTTGACAAGGCTGACATTTCAGTGTTGTTCTTTCCAAAGCCAGAACCCCATACCAGGATTCATATCCCCATGTCTCAACTGGTGGCCGATGGCTGGACTAGGCCTCAGTGGCCAAAGTTGACCCATGGTCCCAGAGAGTGTGTTTACTTTTGTTAATCCATTATGTTCTTATATTCATTTTCGAGTTGTAGCTGTCTACAAGACACCAGCAGCATTTTATTGAACACCAGATCACAGCAGTGTCCTCTTATGACTCTAAACCATGAGACCTGATCTGAAATAATGCAATGCTGATTCTCAGGACACACAAGACTGCCTCCACCCATCTCCTCTATCCATGAGGAAATTAACTTTGCAGCTGTTTAGTTACCACCAAAGTTTTCCCAGATTCACAGGTTGCCCAACTTCAATGAATGCTAATGTCACTGGTCCATGCAGTCTTCTGGCTTCCTCTAGAATGAGAAATCCAAGAGAGTAAGCAGAGTGGTAGCCTCAGAACCAACAGTCTCAGAAGCTACACACTGCCACCTTTACCACACTCTGTTCGTTAGAAACAGATAACCAATCCAACAATGAAAACAAGCCTCACCTTTGAAAGGAATGTTGAAGAATTTGTGGACATTTTTTTAAGCCACCAAAGTTTCTACTGCCCACCTGTTCTGAAGGTTGACCCTGAACGTATGTATAAATGGCCACCCACAGTCTGGTTCCTGGTTCCCAGGACTGAACATTCTTTAAGGGAAAGAGCCATGTCTTGGTCACCTCTGGATCCATAAAACAAAGCACAGGTCCTGGCATATAATATATAATAAATATATGTTTGAGTTATAAAGTGGTTACTTGAAAGGATTGGAAGCACAAAGCCAGTATGTTTTATTAGTTGTGGTAACTGTGTTCTGTGGATCCCGGCAACTCTGAATGTTCTGGCTTCAACCACTGGCTCACTGAGGAAACTCCTGCAAGAAGTTTGCACTGGACAGCTCCTCAGCTAGACAGGATCTCTCTGGCCCCTTTGCGCTCTGACTAGCTACAGTTAAGAGCAAAATCATGAGAAGGTCTTGCAGCCTCTACCGGTGACTCTAACATAGACTTCCTCATGGAACAATGCTGACTTTCTGACCCGGTCTCCCTTGTCTTTATAGATTGCTCAGCTTCCCAACAGTGCTGCTGAACTGGGCAAGTACGTCAATGGTGACAAGGTGCTGGCCTCAAACACTTACCTTCCAGGACCTCCTGGCCTGCCTGGGGGGCAGGGCCCTCCTGGTGAGTATGAAGAAGAGCTTAGGAAGCTGGTGGTGTTTCTGCCCTCTCCACGCACTAGAACATAGGCTGACTGGGAGCTCACATTCACCGAGGTTGGACAGTGCTCTTTAGCTTCCTCCAGTTCTCACAAGTGAAAGCTGATGTTCAGGGTAACATGCCTATATGATGACAGGCTATGGGGGAGTTGGGTTCTGTAGCTTGGGAAGAAAGGGTTAATTTTCTAAGATCAGATAAGACTCCCAATGGTCATTTTAAAACCCAATAATGGTACCACACATCTGGAATTCCAGTACTCAGGAGTCAGTGGAAGAAGGATCATGAGTTAGAATCTAGCCTGGGCTACATGGTGAGATCCTATCTCAAAAACAATTAAGTTAATGAGAAGGCCCATGAAGACTATTATTTAAGTTCTTCCATGGTGATGTATTGTGTCCCCCCCAATATACTGTGTCTCCCAATAAAATTTACCTGAGGATCAGAGGAAAGAGCCAGCCACTATATTAACATAGAAGTAAGGCAATTGTAGCACATGCCTTTAATCCTATCACTTGGGAGGTAGGCATCTGTCTGGATCTCTGTGAGTTCAAAGCCACACTGGGAATAGAGCCAGGCCATGGGGGTACATGCCTTTAATCCCAGCACTAACCATAGAGGTCTGGAGGTCTGTACAGACAGACAGGAAGTGACAGAGCTGGGCATGAAGAGGAAGTGGTGTAGGTGGGCTGAGAGAGCAAATGAGAGAACAAAACAGAAAGGCATATAGGTGTAGGTAGACAGGAAGTAGCTCGCTTTGGAAGCTGCGGAATTGGTGAGGTGAGGTTAGCTGTGGCTTTTCCTACTCCTCTGATCTCTCTCAGGCTTTAACCCCAATTTCTGGCTCCAAATTTTTTACTAATAAGACTGCTTAGTAGTTTGTCTACATTCTTCCTAGGAAAACCTTAACATACAGAGTAATAGACACATAAAATCATTCAGTTCTACAGAATCGCAGTCAGCCCCATCGCCACCTTTCCCAGTTCTTTGTCTACCTCCTTTTCTTGCTTAACACATTTTCAGCGATGTTCTTATTCCTATTATATTATAAGTGGGATTTGTTGAAGTATAGATTACACAATGAGGGTAGGCCATTCCAAGGTTGAGTTTTAGCTTTTGACAACTATGGACTCCCCTGTTACTTATGCTCCACACCAACCTCACAATACAGGAAGTTTCCACCATCCACAAAGCTCCCTTGAGGCATGGACCACCAGTGCTCTCCCCATACCAGCTCTAGGTATCCACCAACTGCTTTCCTTTACCAAGGCTTTTCCATTCTCGGACTGCACTTCAGAGGACCCGCACAGCTTATGTTTGGCATGGCTGTCTTTTTTCTATCAGCACACGGTTTCAGCGATTTTCCCTTACTTTGTTAGAAGATATAGTGAGAACTTATTTCTTCAAGTTCTGGGGTGTTTTACACTTTATTGTGAACCTTTCCATATATACATCAGTAGAGTCACACTAGTACAAGAAATGACATTAGTATTAGTAGGTGACACTAAACCATGGCTGTCTGGTGCCTCGTTATCAACTTAGCAGTGTGCTGGTTCTGACCTCTGATGTCCTAGCTGGGAAGAGGTGACATACAATGACTACAGAGGAGAGTAAGCCAGACTTACCCCTGGAATCTTAGCACTGAGAAGGCTGAGGCAGGAAATTGCTGTGCATTTGAGACCAGCCTGGGCTGAAGAGTGAGATCCTGTCTCAAAAAAAAAAAGCAAACAAACAAAATCAAGAAAGGGATTTACCTTCCTCCAGGTTAGAACACAGGAGCTTTTTATTATCAAGGCTGCAGGAAGATAGCATGTAGCTTGCAGTCGGAGGTGGGCATTGGAGGATTGAACTGGTCAAGGAAGATCAGTAAACTATCAGAACGGGAAGGGCATGGCCAAGCTTTCTATCAAAAGATCAGTAGGAAGTCTAAGTTTTCTTTCTGAAGGATTCTGTGCTTTCTGTCTAGTGTGTCTTAACCCCCTCGTTTCCACTACTGGCCTGAGGCTCAGTCTCCACAGAAGAACTGACCCAGGACTTTGGTGTAACCTCTTGTTCGTCCCCTGATGTGACTATTCTCAGTATCATGGCAGAGATTCCTCACACTGGCATCCTCTTGCTTCTTCTAAATAGGCAGGGGCTCTCTCCTTACAAAGTGATTCCTATCACAGTGGCCTCAGGCCCTCTATAAGTGGCTGCTCTTGCTTTGCATCTCCAGGCCAGTCCACAAGTCACTCGAACAGGGACAGCTACAGGAGCAGGGAAGCCTCTGGCTGTTGGTTTTCTTAACAAATGACTCAATAGTTTGCCATCCAGTTCTGCCGTCTGGTTTCAGACCTGGTTTGAGCTGTCCAGGGTCCTTGAGGGAAACAGTCTGATTGCAGATGAATGAGCTTTTGCGATGCATGAGGAATTTCTCGTTTATTTCTAGACTTGGGTTGCTTTCCACTGAGGTATATTTGGGTAGCTAGAGAGCTCATGAGGTTCTCTCTCCTTTGAGCAGAAGTTCCACCCAGAGCCCATCATGAATTGCGTACTGAACAGCAGCACAGGAGACTGCACTGGGGTGGCCCCTTTGGCTTTGGAGATGAGAGGCCGGCTCTCCGGCCTCCTCTGCTATGACAAGGTCTTTCCATGGGCATATCAAGGTCCTACATTTTAAAGGCACTTGACATACAGTGACCTCTGATGTTTACTGATTAGGTAACTGCAGGTGACATCTCACTGCTAGCTTATCTTTCTGCTGCTCTTGGACATAGAATAATTACGGGAGCGATCTGTCCCCCTTCCCAAATAAATGATTTCAGCATGTACCTGGAATGGGTATTGAGAGTTGGGACATGAGACATGTTTGAATGGAGCATTGGCTGCCTTCATCTTTGCCTTAATTCTTCTGTGAACTAGAAATGACTTCTCCAAATATGAAAAGCCTAAGGTCTTTGGCTGTTTGTTTTGTTTTCCGGAGGGTGGAATTATCCTGTGCTGCCACTGTGTTCTGTTAGTAGGAGCTGGTGATGAGTGAAAAGACAATTCAAAGGAGACAATATGGCACAGTAATCAACCTGGTTTCTCTTGTGCAGTCATTTCGCAGAAAAGCTTTATAAGCAGTCCACTGACATGACCTCTGTGGGAGAGGGTGGATGAATAAGACACAGCCTGCACTCACTCGGGGCTCCTTATCTGAAGTGGAGTCAAGTTTGATGTTCTCCCATATGCAGGATAATGACCCTGACCTTCCACCAAACAGAAAAAGTTAGCTCAAAATGGATTAAAGACCTAAACATTAAAACACTGAAGTCGTACAAAGTGGCATACTACGGCATACACAATGATTTCTTAGACACATCCCCAAAAGCAGAAACAGACGAAAGTGAGATCATCCCAAACTTTAAAACTTACCTGTATAAATGAAACCCTGAAAGGAGTCAAAAGGCAGCCCATAGGAAGGGAGAAAATGTCTGGACGCCATTTACCTAATGAGGGATTAGCATCTAGAACATGCTTTAAATAAGATAATTTAACAGCAATAAAAGTCAAACTGATTCAAAAATGGGCAAAGAACTTGAGTAGTCATTTCCTCAAAGAACATATACAAACAGCTAACAAAGCCGTGAAAATCACTCAATCTTATGGGTCATTAGAAGAATGCAAACCCCAACCCCAGTAAGATAGTCCCCTTATACTCACTATCAGAAGAAAAGGGAAAGGAAGGTTAAGCATTAGTCAGTGTTAGGGTTTGGCTAAAAAGTGTACCTCCCCAAGGTCCTCAGGTGCTGGGACTTGGTCCCCTGCTGGTGGCATTGTTTGGGGAGATGAGATCTGGAGCAAGTCCCTGGGTCCATGTCCTAGGGTGTGTCTTGTCCCCAACACTCCCCTGCCGCTTCTCTGCTTCCCATGCTGTGAGCTCTGCCATGCTCTTCACCATGGTGGACTGATAAGTCTGAAACCATGAGCCAAATTAAATCTCACTCTTGGGTTTTTCAGTTGGCATTTGATCACAGCAACAATAAAGCTAACTGATATAGAAAAAATATAGGAAAACTGTAAGATGTAAAATAATGTAACCACTGTGGGAAAGTAGTGAGGTTATTTTTAAATGCTTTATCTAGAACTTTCATATGGGTCAGCAATCCCACTTTTGTGTATTTATTCATGTCCATATAGCTCTAAGAGAATAGAAAGCAAGGTCTTGAAGCATTCAAGTACCCATGTCTATAACACTACTCTTCAGTGACCAGTAGTGACCATTTACTCTTTGGTGGGGGTCTAAAATAGTAAAATTGGTATATACCAATGAACTCTTAGTCTACTTTTTGACATGATACATGAACTAGTCTTAGAGACATTAGACATTTAACCTAATTAGGAGACATTTAACCCAGTTTTTGAAATGAGCAGATACAGCCAGGCATGCTACAGCACACCTGGAACCCCAGCACTTGAGAAGAGTTCTCAGTGTCCATAGAGATTTATTCTTACATGATGAAAACATTCTAGAGATCTGTGATACCACTTTGTGAGGGCACCCAACCCTTGTAAATTACACATTTACAAATTTTTAAGATAAAAATCTTTGTATTACGTATTTTATGCACAGTTTTTTCTTAAGTTCTCTAACTGCCTGTACCCTTTTTGCATATCTTCCCTGGATAATGTTCAGGGTCAGAAGTGAGCGCTGTAGTCTGCATCAAGGTTCAGCCCCTCAACTTGAACATTTGTGGCCCTCAGGAGGAAAGACATTTCCTGGAGACCCCATCATGTGACAGACATTCTGTGTCCTGCATGCATGTCTTAAATGGCAGTGCAGGGGTACCGCTTCCTCTATTGCAAGCTCCACCCAGGCCAATGTGGTTGTTTCTAACTCTGTTCATAAAAGGTGGAGAAACCCCACAGGTTTCTGAATCAACCTCCATGACGAAATTATATGAGAAAGTTGGGTAACAATTATCATCACCCAGGTACAAAAATGGTCATGTAGTTAGTTCTTAAATACTCCCAATGCTCTGTTGATACAAGCCTCCAAAAAGAACTTTAGAAAACAAATTTACTGTCTACAGAGATCCAACAGGTAGCCTTGGTGAGTGAATATGGCTGTGTGAGGAGCTGAACTGGAACAGAGCACAGACTCCATCTAAAAGGACACCTCCTGATGCCCCAGACCATTGTGCCAGCAGCAGAACTGGGGTCTAATTTTACTTCTTCCTGTTTTCAAACTATGGCCAGAAACCCAGATTTTTGCAGGAAGTCTCTGAATTTTTAAATAGGAATATTCACAGGCAACAGTTGCTGCTAAGACATACACCTATATGTAATGATTCATGATGAAGTGGGCACTTAATTTTCACGGGGAAGGGAACTGAGATGATTTGGGGTGCATAGTCTGTTGTGTTTCAGTGGGGTAGCAGCAAAGCTGAAGAGCAGAAGCCTGAGTGATACAGCATCCCAGGGTCTGTTAGGGAAGGACAGAAGTCACGGGGTGAAGAGTGCCTTGGAGAAAGATGAGAATGAGCAAGTATGATTGAACTTGGAGCAAAGGAAGCCACTGTATGGTTTTCTTCCTTCAAATCCGCCTCCTTACAGAGCACTGGCAGTATTTAAAAACTAGCCATATGATATGATCTAGTGTCTGGTTTATATGTGAGTCATCTTGGAGTCTAATTCTGCTGACTGTTATATCACTTGATAACTGCTTGTTTATTTTGCCCTTGCTTATTTATGTGTGTCAGTTTTTTTTAATTGAATGCTGCACATTATTTGTAGAGAAACACTAGAGCCTGAGGAACTTGCCAATCACTCTCTGAAGCAGGCCTCTTCTGTTGTCAGATCTGTAACAGGAAGTTGAGTCATCCTAATCCTGAGTTAAGTTACTTTTGGGCTCTGTGGTCACTATATTTTCCATCAGTGCTTTGCAGTCTTCAAATGTTCAAATCCATCCAGTGGTAGGATGCTGCTCCTTTGTGCTGAGTCGGTATCTGTGGGTTTTCTCTGTGTTCCACTCTCAGCTTTCTGAGGTCCCTACACAATTCTCTGCCCTCTTGTCCATTCTTCAGTAGTAGATTCCTTTTACTTTATATTTCATGCTGGAGTTGTGGGAGCAGAGGCAGTTTCGCTTTTCTTTGTCCTGCGCTTCTGGGCCTTAGATACGTAAGACCTCTTCCTCACGCTTGTCCCCAGACAATCATGGACAGAACAGTGTCTTCTACCATTTCCTCACAAGCAGTGAGTATGTATAATGCCTACAGGAGAGAGCATTTGCTCCCCATCTTGGGGGATTGACGTTTTTATGGTAATGGTTAAAGGTAGGAGAGTTCTACAGTTAAGAAACATTCCATTGAGCTTCTAAGAATGGGTGAGGAGTGAACACTATCAGTAGGAGGCAGGGGGCACGAGCTATGAGGCAAGAGTTGAGGCAAGCGTGAGAAAGGAGGAGGCCCAGCAGCCTTTTAGTGCTTACTGTGTGTGTGAGGCACTATGCCATGTAATGTGTGTGCGTATCTAAAATTCTATCTAATGCAGCCATTGTATATTGGAGAATTTGACTCCCATTTGGAGATAAAAGACTAAGGTCCAGAGGTCTCAAACAAGTTGTCAAGGATTCAAATGTAGCTCTCTTTGACGGTAAAACATTTCTCTGCTGGTGTGTGGGTGTGTGCAAGCGCACACACATGGAGGCTAGGGGGTCAAATTTTTGGTGTCTTCCTCTGCCACTGTCTTCTTCTTGCATTTCAGATAGACTGGTTGACCAGCAAGTCCCTAGGATTTTCCTGTATCGACCCACTCATCCTCTGGGACTGTGTTTATAGCTATTCACCACCACACCAAACTTCTGCATGGGTACTACAGATCTGAACTTGGATCTTCATTTTTATGCAGAAAGTACTTTATCCACTGAGCCATCTCCCCAGCCCCACAACCTTGTACTCTTAAGTACTCTGTAGATAACATCACATACTCCTGGGATCCAGGGATAGAGAGACACAGGGCAGGACAGGCTTAAAGAGGTAAAGCAAGCAGATCCTTGACTGAGTGGGGAGGCTGTGGAACTAAGGATCTACTGTAGGAACATTGTCAAGTTTCTGACTTGAGCAAATAGGTGACAGATGGTCCAAGAAAAGAGAAAAAAGTGAAGTCACTGTAAATTGTGTTGAGTTTAAATTTCCATGAACACAGTGTAAATGCCACAAGGCAAAGAGCAGAGTTAAAAGGCAAATGTCTACAGTGACTCCTAGACTCTGTATTTGTCTTTATTATGGGGTAAGTGCTAATAAGATGTTCTTGATTACAGGCTCACCAGGACCCAAGGGGAGTCCTGGATTCCCTGGTATGCCAGGCCCTCCTGGACAGCCTGGCCCACGGGGCTCAATGGGACCTATGGGACCGTCCCCTGACCTGTCTCACATTAAGCAAGGCCGGAGGGGCCCTGTGGTCAGTATCTCCTCTGAGACCCATGTAATACTTGGGGGAAAATGGTTCTTGTTCTGTACATTTAATTTAGTTAAGTCAGATGCTTGTGTCTTCTAGGGCCCACCAGGAGCACCAGGAAGACATGGCTCCAAGGTAAGTCTTATAAATGATCCTTAACAGTTACAGGTCTGTTTCTAGCCACTTGGACATCCAATGAAGCTTGGCAAACCCTATTTACCATTGAAAGTTGAGACACAGATATACAAGTTGAGAATGGCAAACCCCACAGCCTACAATGCTTGAAAATCCTAAACTTTTAGAGCATATGCAACATTGTGGGGAAATGAATTTCAAGCTGGGTGTTGTGGTATAAGCCTTGTGTAGTTATGATTACACTCATATTCCTCACTAATCTATGTTTTTTTAGAATGGCCTCACTTATTTAAGTGGAGAACCACACACAGCTCCATTCTACACAAGTGCTGGCTTCTCTATAGAGCTGACAGCTGCTTGTCTCAGACAGCAGCTGGTGTGCCTTACTTTCGAAAGGTTGGTGTTTCACACACTTCCTAGACAGACAAGATTCCTTATCAGATCTGGTTTGAAAATACATAGCCTTGTGAGAACTCAGCAGCCAAGCCACTCCACCCAAGCTTGCCAGTTCCAATAAGAGGTCCCCTGAATCCAGCTCCAATTCTGAATTTATTCCCTGCAGAAGGACGGTTGTGGGTGGTGGGTGTCTAACCAGAGACAGTGGTGCTAACATCTGCATGCTCCAGAATGCTAACCCTCACCTTTCGGTTTTAGGGGGAGAGAGGAGCACCTGGGCCCCCAGGGTCTCCGGTAAGTTGCACTGTCTGTCCTGCTTACTCAGTGGGGATGCTCTCAAGAGTGTGGCACTCATAAAATGGTGGAGCTGGGGCTGGTGAGATGACTCAGTGGGTAAAAGCACTTGTCATCAAGCCTGATGACTTGAGTTCAATTCCCAGGACCCAAATGTTGGAAAGAGAGAACTGACTCCTGCAAATCCTCCTCTAACCTCCATAGGAGTGATATACATATCCCCACACAAGTAAATAACATTTAAACATTTTTTTAAAAAAATATATGTGTAGGTGGAAGTTTCTGTGCCAACAGCCAGCTCCCAAATAACTACACAGAAACTTATTATTAATTATAAATGCTCAGCCCATAGCTTGGGCTTGTTACTAACTAGCTCATACAACTTAAATTAACCCATTTCTATTAATTTACATGCTGCCACATGGCTCATGGCTTGTTGCCTCATTTTCTGCATGTCCTCCTCCCTCTGTGTTTGGCTGGTGACTCCGCCCTTCTTCTTCCCAGTGCTCTCTCAGTCTTGCTCTCCCGCCTAACCTCTTTCTGTCTAGCTATTGACCACTTGGCCCTTTATTAAACCAATGAGAGCAGCACATCTTCACAGTGTACAAAGGGTTATTCCACAGCAGAAGACACATTCAGCTGTCACTCAGGCAGTCGAGTCTGTGGTTAGGAAGAAAGCTGTAGATGCCTTAAGCAGCTCATTTGAACTTTTAAAATCTGTTTCCTGTTGTTACTTTTTCTTTGATCTTGATAATCTCTATGTGAAATATGTCCTCTGAAGCCCACTATGCCAGGAATCCATTTTCAAGTGTATCATAAGATGTTTGAAAGAAAGGCTGAAGATACGGCCTAGTCAGTATAGTGCATGGCATGCAAGCAAGGGGACCTGAATTCAATCCCTGGAGTCCATGTGAAAAAGCCAATATTATTAGAGTGCACTTGTAATCCTAGCTCTGAGGAGGCATTGCATAAAAATTAAAGCTTACCAAATATTATACATGATGAAGAATATCTAATAATAGAATAAGGAAGGTTTGATTAGGATCTTTCTAGACAATAAGGAACAACATACTCTCAGTTTCATTTAGTTGCTCCTCTTATAAACATATTAATAACTTCATTATTTTTTAAGGAAGAGCAGAAAACATTTCAAACTCTTCCTTCCCTCTAAGCCCTTCGCATTCACTCCATTTAAATGTCCACCTCTGAGCCCAGTGGAAGCCTGTGGTGGTGAATCTGCATTTTACAGATGGAGAAAGCTTAAACAGAGACATCAGGTAGTTTGCCATGAACACACAGCTCGGAAGAGGTTGGTTCAAATCCAGCAGAATCTTAACCTCTTGGCCACTGCACTGACCTCCAGGTTTCTTTGGGAACTCTCCTGAGAAAGGAGAGGTGACTGTATCACCAGTGTCCATGTGAGAGAAGAGGGACTGGAGGACAGGCCTGAAGATCCCAGGCTGCTCCTGCAGTCCTTAGATCTATCTACTCTGTTTAGGCCACAGAGTTGGTTAGAAGGTAGTCACCCACGAGCCACAGGACTCACAGCAAGCAAATTTGGCAGGATGCTGCTGTGACAAGTAGCTATAAATTCACAGTTTTGATTCCTCCCACGTGCACAGGGACCCCCAGGTTCTTTCGACTTCCTGCTGCTTGTGCTGGCTGACATCCGAAATGACATCGCCGAGCTGCAGGAGAAGGTGTTCGGGCACCGGACTCACTCTTCAACAGAGGACTTCCCCCTACCTCAGGAATTTTCCAGCTACCCAGAGACTCTGGACTTTGGATCTGGGGATGACTACTCCAGAGGAAGTGAAGCAAGAGACTCTGAGGCCCCCAGGAACTTCTATCCATAGCACATCCCACGTCTTCATGTCACCAGAAGAGAAGCATAGCTTCACCCAGTCATTGCATCTGAAGAAAAATACCACTGGAGGCCTAAAGCCTTTCTCTGTACTGTCTTCCTGCCCTCTCTTTACTCTGCTTCCAAATCCTATTTTCCGGGTACCCTGCACTTCACACTAGCAACAGGAGGATGTGATGGATAACATGCTCTTCTTGAAGAGCCGCTGGGTGGTTTTCATCAGGACCATCCTTGACATCCTAGTTCTTCAGGAGCTTTTGAATTTCTAAGTTAATTGTTCCCACAGAATCTTAAATTTTGACACAGTGCCAAAAGGGGAGGGGAATGGCAAAGTGGGCTCTTAGAAGTGTAAGGTTCGTTCTAAAAAGAAAATTGTGTTCAAAATACTTGACTGTTCACCCTTTGCAGTCGGGAGTATGGCTCTTCAGTTAAAGAGGGTTGAAGCAGCACAATGTAGATTGATGTTGATTTTTTTAAAAAAAAAAAAAAAGACTTTTCCTTCGCAACATCACAGATTTCAAATTCTGCATCCTATTTTCCAGGCTTCTTATTTTATATTTGGTTACAGAAACAAAAGAATAAAAAAGAAGTACAAAATGCCCTGGCACTGACCAGGTGGCCAGAGGTGCCACCAGGCCCTGATCCTGGCTGAATCAAGGGTGGAGGGCAGTTGTTGGCAAAGGGTCACGGGGAGGCATTGAGAAGGGCTTCACTAAAGCTCGATCACCAGAGGCAGGTTAATCTGCTCTTAAGACACTTGGAGTTCTTATCCCCAGCCAGTCAAGCTAACCAGTGCTCTGGGGATAATGCACAGCTGAGAGATCTCTGAGACAGAGAAGGGGAAGAGATTTTTTTCTAAGTTGACCTAATTTTCCATTATTTTCCCCTGATTTAGTTAAAAATCCCTGTTCTAGGTCTCCTTGACTTCTTTTCCTGGGCCAGATGGAGATGACTTGGAGGGAGGCACATTCTCCAGTGTCTCCCTGAGTCCTTTCTTAGAGCAATTCTAGATCCCTAGGGACTCGGGTTCCCAGAAAGGAACAAGAGGCCAGGTTCCTTCTTGTGTCTTCGAGTTCTATTGAGCTTCCCAAGGGATCTTGCTCACATGGTCGCCTACACCAGGGTCCCTTGTCTGCTACCCTGCAGAATCCCCTCATAGTTCTAAGAAGTTTCCATTTAGCTTTTTCCCATATCCTTATAGCCTCCATCACCTCCCACCCCTACTATGACGGCTTGTTGGAAGAAAACTGCTATTGCGTCTGCATGGCATGGCACTGTCCATCCTTCTTCCCGAGAAATGAGAAGGGGCTCTGTCTACAGAGCTCGGGTGGCCCAGCGGTCTTTTGATTCCTCTCTCATCCCTCTTGTGGCCCCCTTCCTTTCCCTCTCTTTTCTCTCTTCCTCTCCCTTTCCTTTGCCCCTTCTTCCTTCCTTCTATCTCTTTCCTCCTTCCCTCCCTTCCTCTCCCTCTACTAGTCCCTTTACTTCTCTTATTTTCTTCCCTCCCTCCATCCCTGCTTGCCCACTGGCCTCCTAACCTGTTAGAAAGGCAGGATTCCCACACACTCATGCCGAATCCCCGGTGGCTGTCCACCAGCAGTTCGTGGTAACGGCAAACACACACTTGCCTGCTTGCTCCCGGTCTCTTCCTCTTCCCCACTCAGCCTCTCCAGAACCTGAGCATCACCACAGATGGCCTTGCCAGCCATGGGTTCCTGAAGAGATGGATGCAACCACAGTCAAGTCCCACCTGGAACCTATTTCATGCTTGCCTGCTTATAGAACCCAGAGTTTCAAGGGTGTGGATAGATGAATTCTCAAAACTATGCACAGGCTCTGTGCGCAGTGATATGTCCATCTTTTTTATGAGGAATTTTATAACCTCTACTTTTTCTAGACAGTGAAATGTGTCTAGAAATATAATCTTTATTGCCAAATGCTGGTTAAATACAAGCACACTCCATGCTTGGCCAGAGGCCAGGATAATGTACTAAAAGAATGAAGTGAAAGTCATAATACCCGGGATTCATGAGTCTATTCTAGATAATTATCTCCAGTAAAACATACAATAGCCTGTATTTTGTAACCTCAGTCTGCTGGACCAGGTCAATTTAGGTAATCATTACTCCTCAAATTTTCAAAACTTGGACTACTAACTAACTATAAGACCAGAGTATGTCCCCTATTTGTCCAAATTATAGGTTCTTTTTAGTGATAAAACATTATTGCTCATGTATCTTTTAGTTGTGGATAAAAAAATCAAAGCTTTACTATCTAAACAAACTTCTACTCAAAAATCCCATGGTTAAACAGATTTACTGAGTCACTTCTTATCTCATGGCAAAAATGTTTTGGCTTTTTTTTTTAATATCTTCCTCAACCCGTTAGTAGAATTGTTCAATTTTTCTAATATCCCCACAAGTAAGACTTGTGTTTATAAAGCAATGGGAATAAAAACTCACTGAGAAGACATGCATTTTAGTTGAGAAAAACTACTCTCCCTTCTCAGTTCCAAAGGGAAAAATAATTAGCTTTCCTATGCCAAAAAAATATTAGGAGCCAGATACAGTGGTATATGCCTGTAATCCCAGAACCTGAGAAGTAGAAATAGACAGGTCAGGAGTTCAATGTCAACCTCAGCTACATAGCAAGTTTGAGGCCAGTCTAGGCTATATGAGAGCCTATCTCAAAACAACAACAATAAGAATGATAATGATAATAAATAATAATGAGTAGGAGACTGAAGAGATGACTCAGCAGTTAATGATGCTTGCTGCTCTTCCAGAAGGCCAGAGTTCAATTTCCAGCTCATGCATCAGGCAGCTCACAAACTCCTATAACCCCACTTCCAGGTGATCTGATGCCCTCTTGTGGCTTCTGTGGCACCTGCACTCACATGTGCATATACACACATAGATACACATACAGATAATTAAAAATAAAGTCTTTTTTTAAAGGAGTGGGTACAAAGAGGATGCTGCCTTTCCTTGCTTTCTATGTTACTCTCTAGTACTTGCTACAGAATTAACTAAAGTCATATTGCTGTGTAGAGTCCATTGCCCAACAGGTAAATAATAAGTGCCCATTGACCTTCAAGGGAAAGAAGGAATATTACCCCACCAAAGACCAGGTGCAGAGCACCTAGGTAGGTCCAGATAAGTCATGTTCTCTTTCCAAGATTCTGAACAACCTTGGCCTTGGGATTGTCACTATCAGGCATGTTGGGACCGATCTTCTTCATGACCAGGCATCATACTTCATCTTGGGGTCTCAGGAAGCAACCACCTATCTTATTTTGAATATCATTTCCCTCCCTTTCCCTTGTCCAGGCTGTCTCATAGAGACAGCCTCAGCAGGCACCTCCTGCAAGCAAAATTATCTGCCAGGCAATCTTTCTGAAAGGGAAAGTCATTTGCTGGGACCTGAGCCAAGCAATAGAATAGAGCCTTCTAAAGTTATCGGTCATGTATTCAGGGAAATAGATGTATTATTTCCTGACACAGTAATCATATATGTTTCACAACATATCAAAAATAATTTTCTATTTAGATGAAAAACAAGAGCTGTAATTGTTAAAGCTGAAATAATATGCTTTATATACTCCTCCTACAAATGTTACCATCAGAGAGAAACCATGGAAAGGATGTTTGGGCTATACATCCCTCATGGAGCTCAGCATGTTCTGTCTCATTCCCAGAGCTTGTTCCCTTGAGGGGTTCATGAGTCTGTTTCTGTTTCCCAGTGACTGGTCATATACTTCAATATCTCTGTCCATTATTTATATCAGGTCATATAACAGTCAAACTGGTATTCCAACAGTCATGGATGTAATACTATGAAGTGCTTTTGTATGACTGTATATGCTTAATAACAAAGTTATTTTTCTTACGTGGTTCTCCTGTGTTTTGTCCGGGCACTACTGTAAAAGGAGCCATCCCCTGGCCAACTGAATATGGTGCATCCATTACTCTTCTTGTTGAATGTCAAAATATCTGTCTGACAAAAGAAACTTCGGGGAGGGTTTTGTTGTTGGTGTTGTTGTTTGGTTTGATTTGGTTTGGTTTGGTTTGGTTTGGTTTGGTGTTTTTGTTGTTGTTTTGTTTTGTTTTTTGCTCATGGTTTGAGGGACACTTCACTGTGATGGGAAAGTCACGGCTGCAGGTATCATGGTGGCTGGTAACATTGCCTTTGCACTCAGGAAGCAGAGATACGTGCTTCCTTGTTGATTTTTGGCCTCTCTGAGAACTAAGTACCAATCTATCTGCCTCCTTCCTAGACTAAGAGGGCCTTGGAGGGCTGAGGAGATGGTTTACTTGGTAAAATGTTTGCCATGCAGGCATGAGCACTCATGTTCAGATCCCCAGCACCCACATAAAAAGCCGGGTGCTGCACACATCTGTAGCCCCAACACTGGGGAGGTGGAGATGGGGATTCTTGGCACTTGTTCTAGGTTCAGTAAGAGACCCTATTTCCAAAAATGATGTGGAAAATGATTGAGAAAGATACACTCTATTGACCTTTGACTTCCATTTGCATGCCTGCACACATTCACATAAGCACACATCCACGCTGATATGTGTAACACACACACACACACACACATACACACACACACACACACACACACACACACACACACACACACACAGCCCCCAGGAACAAGAACTTTGCTTTTTTTTTTCTATTGGGCATCTGAACAGTTCCCATTGTACAGAAAGAGTTGAGTAAACTAGATTTAACTAAAGTTTATTCTTCATGAAACCCTAAGACTGGTGCCTTTATTATGCCACACACACATTCTGAGAGGTAAGTTATCTTGTCAAAATGCCACAAAGCTAAAAACATTTCTAATAAAGGTGTATTTCAGAACAAACAAGAATCACTGTGTTTGTTGACTTTGTAAGCATAGCACAGACACACACACAGTTTTCCCCACTTGGGAATCACTTAAAAGTTTGCCACGGTGCAGAAGGTAACACAAAGAAAGTGTGTCAACAAGACATCACAGAGCCATTTGCTTCCCAATGCTCTATTCCACACTAGGTGCTATGAGGTGACTGACATGTGTAAGGCTGTTGGGATTATCTTTAGAGGCAAAGAAAAAAAAATAGCAAAGCTAATACAGTTACTCCCCAAAGGTAACTTGGAGCCAACACTCAAAAAGGGGAAACAGAATAGATTTAGCAAATGGTCTAATACAAGGAAACCCGCAATTGTTTGGGATAATTTTTATGTCAATTCCTTATTAATAGCCATTGCCAGCATATTTCACATTGAGCTGCATGCAAACAGAAGAATGTTCTGATTCTGTCTCTGGTGGGTGAACTTGATGATGGGGTAAAGCATAGAAGCATTGGGGAGTGACCAGCCAGATCATAACTTCCGTGGTTTTCAAATGCATGACCCACTGAGAAAGTATGATTTACAGAATATGCCACCACATACACTTGTATACTTATAGTTGAAGCAAACCTTTCACAATGTTTACTCTTACCATATAGACTACATTCTCATGTTCTCTCTACACACAATTGTTTATAATTTGGGTCACACCCCTGAGTTGTCTTCATGACTTTCTGATGGGTGGCAGCCCATAACTTGAAGACCAGTTGACTAAATCAGCCCCCTCAAACTTTATACATCAATCATCTGCCGACCTTTACGAAAATGAAGACTGACTCAAGGGGTTTGAGGTTTGCATTCTTGCAAGCTCCCAAGTGATGTGATGGGTTCGCGAAATGAGCTCTATGGAGCAGAGACTCATCTCTCTCTCTCAGGAATGTATGCTCTGATCATCGCACACAAGCAGGGCAAAATCAGATTAATTTGCAACTCTGACAGGAGGTGAGAGTTCACATATGGCTATTATATCCTGATGACTTAGTCTCTTCTACCACTTTAAAAAATTATATGGTTGGCCCCATGTTCGTGGATTCAACCGAGGATCTAAAACATTCAGGAAAACATTTTGTGTCCATACTGAATACGTGCAGACTTTCTTCTTGCCCCTCTTTAAGCCATACAGTTATTTACAGAGCATTTCACTGCACTGGTTATGCAAGTCATCTAGAGATACAAAGTCAATGGGTGGATCTGATGGGTTATATACAAATACACCACCTTTAAAGATTTGTATTCGTTTATACATGTGTATGTGTGTCTATGTGACTGTATGCCATGTATGTACAGTGGCCCTCAGAGGCCAGGAGAAGGTGTCAGATCCACCTAACATAGGTCCTGGGAACTGAACGCAGGTGCTCTAGAAGAGCAGCAAACACTCTAATTGCTGAGGTACCTCTCCATCCCCAAGTCACTTTTTTTATAAAGCACTTGAAAAATCCTCAGAGTTTTGTAGCCAAAAGGAAGAGGTTGTTAGAACCCATCCCTTGAGGAATCCCTGGAAACTGGTGCATCCTAAGACACCGAGAACTAGAACTTCTCTGGTAGCCTGACATGGTGGCACATACCTTTAATCCAAGCACTCAGGACACAGAGGCAGGAGGGTCTGCTAGAGTTCCGGGACAGCCGGGGCTACACAGATAAACCCTGTCTCAAAGAAAAGAAAGAAAGAAAGAAAGAGAGAGAGAGAGAGAGAGAGGGGGGGGGGAGGGAGGGAGGGAGGGAGGGAGGGAGGGAGGGAGGGAGGGAGGAAGGAAGGAAGGAAGGAAGGAAGGAAGGAAGGAAGAAAAGAAAGAAAGAAAGAAAGAAAGAAAGAAAGAAAGAAAGAAAGAAAGAAAGAAAGAAAGAAAGAAAGAAAGAAAGAAAGAAAAGAAAGAAAAAAAGAACTTCTCCAGTAACTTTTTATAAGGAATAAAGTTGGAGCAGTGAAGGAAAAGACGGTGTCCCTGAGGGTCCAGTGGAAAGATCGCAAACACGACCCTTGTCCAGTGTATTGACTCTCGCCAGCTTGGACCCTGGCCTGGCCACAGCCACTCTTATTTTGGAGGCTGACTCACAGAGTTAAAAGGGCAGTAACAAAGTCCACAGAGCAAGTTGACCCTAGCAATCTGGATTCTCCAACTGTGCCTGCCTGCATGGTGTCAATTCCGCCAGCTTCCCCTGGTGACTTCAGTTCCCGGTTCTTCCCCATTCCAGGCCTAGGTGACAGCTTAGATCCTGGATTGGCACTGCCCCAGTGTACCCTCTGCCGCCTTTTACCCTTTTCCATCTCTAGCATCCCCCCAGCATCGCTGGGAAAGGGAGCCAGTGGGAAAAGGATGAAGCCAGAAGGGAGATGCTATCTTGTGGGGTCCACAGGATCACATTTTGCTAACATTTTTTTTTTTGATGTTTGGGGATGAAACCACTTCCAAAGTCAACTTTTAAACTGTAGTTGTGAATGTCCTTGGCTCTGTCTCCCCAGCAGAAACAGCAGCATGCAGCACCTGCTCTGACTCATCTTACAAGTTGCTGTGACCTTTCCATGTGAGTCTTCTGCAGAGAACGCACAGCCTCCTGCCACGTGCCTTCTAACTGAAAAACCCTATCATGTGGAAGAAATACTTCTCCCGTGTCCTGACAGGATCATTTATTTACAATTTAGTAAAAACCTCAGCCCAAACCAGCTAACCACATACATAAACGCAAAGGACCATCTGCGGACCATTTGCCTCCTGGGAAAGAAAAAGGTGCCACAAATTGAATTAGGCTCGGATTATTCAGGGAGGAAACAACAGCTGGAAGACGTTTTGAAAAGCGATTCCTTCAAAACAGTCTTCCAGGGCACTGGGCAAATGCATTTTTCTTTCAGGTTTTATTCTATTAGCACCGTTGACTGTGGAGACCCAGTTCTGCCAGCCAGATCGATAAGAGCTTTGTCTACAAAGATCTCCATGCTATGGGATGAAAATCTTCGACGTGATTTGGTCTGGGTGTTCTAAATACACAAAACTGGGCCCCAGCCATACACAGGTACCGTTACAGTCCAAATAGCTCTGGGCTCTGTGCCAAAACGGTGCTTTCTCTTAGCTCTGTGGAGTAGTCAGCCACTTGGCTGCGCCTACGTCATCACTGACTTACCCCGTGGTCACTATATTTGAAGTTGCACCTCAGTGGCTGATCCAGATGGAGCCAGATGGCTGCTGCTCCTGCTTTCTCTGCTGCACAAAGTGTGACCTTACAGGCTCAGCAAAACCCACAAGGCCTGTTCAGGAAAATGGAGCTGCCATGTTGAGACCAAACTGTGTTGTCGGCCCAAAGCAGAGAAGAAAATGCACCGGAAGCCCCACGTTCTAAAGTGAACTTCAGGGGGCAGGTGGGGAGCTGCTGAACAAGCAAGTTCTATTCAGAGTTTTCTCTCTCTCTCTCCATCTCCGCATCCAACCACAGAGACAGACACAAAAAGAGCACAGTGCTCATGATGACGATCTGAGTTCTCACCCGTTAGTCCCCACCCATCCCCATAGCTAAGAGGAAGTGCCAACCTGTCATTCTTTGTCATTGCAGGGCACCAGGTGCCCTTGATGGGCAGGAACTGAGCTGCACAACTCACAGGTCCCTGCCGTGTGTTGCCAAGAGCAAGGCTGGGCATGAAGATTCCCAGGAGGAGGCTAGAACAGTCTGCAAATCAGATTGGTTGTCCTTTTGAGGATGGAGAAGGGTGCTGGGCAGAGGTGCCACCAAGAGGTGACATACTTGTACATAGAGACTAATGGCTTCTCCTGTGAAGTTGGAGGCCTGGTGAGAGCAGCCTCTTCTCTGGGACTGTAGGTGAGGGTCCAGCTGTGAACAAGGGGACCTGCCTGTGTGTGAATGGACACAGAGGTAAGTGGAGAGAATGTCCGGTGCCAGGTATCTGCTGTCTTCCTCTGAGGCATCAGCAAAGCTGGCCCTTTAACTCCTACCATTTGCCTGCCCTCTGGGAAATTTAATTAGTAGAGGCAGAGGAG